TTTCTGACTCATCCCTTTACTTTCTTGTCCCTCCAACTTCATCTCCATAAAATTATTATGCCACAAAGCAATACTTTTTTCATACTCCCCTTTAGCTTGTGGCTCACTGCCCAGCTGAGGTAGGGTCAGGAATGTAACAGGGCAAATATGTCAGCATAAGACAGCGTGTAGAACGGGGATACTATGTCTTACCATTTTTGCTATGTTTTGAATAAAGTAACAGTAACGACTATGCTTTATGTCAGTCTGTGATATACAATTGTGATAGTCTGCACAATATAAAACTGCAGAGCATGTTCCTGGATTGCGTATCTCTTGGGATTTAGGGATGTTTTATGCCTCTTTCAGGATAGTCTCATCCTCGTGGGCATTTAGGAACATGTTCTGTTGGAATTTCCAAGCCAAGCCAGCCACAGCCACGGCCTGGGTTAAGTAGTCGCTATAAAGCTACTTTCTCTTGTCCTTTTCCTGAGTTCAGATGTCATGTGTTGCTACTTCAGTAACAAACAATTAAACTGTATTCAGGTAAAACATAAACTTGAGATGTTCAAGATTCATCTCTTCATAGTAACGTTCCTCTCCTGTCCCCAACAAGTCTAACAACTCTTTTAATGACGTAAAGGAATCCAAGCCAGACTATTCCATTCTCCTGCAAAAGTGGACGGCTAGATCAGAGTTAAGTTTTTTCACTTAACTAAGTCTATATATTAGGAAATATTTCATAAACTACTCAGTAACATATAATTCTTTAAAACATTATATGCCATTTCTAAAACCTGCATCAACACATTGTATACATCTTGTCAACACAGAACGTTCAGAATCTAAAAGCAACTAACTCGCACAGCTTGAAATGGATGCCATTGGTATAGGTAAGATAAAACACACTATTCTTATTATAGATGCTCATTAAAATTTAACATGTGCTTTCTGGTTCTATCACTGCATAATATATGCTTTAAAAATATTTTCTTGTCACTTTGCAATTAATAATTCATTTAGCTACGGACAGTAAACAGGTAGAAGATGATACTTCAGAAGCAATACCTGTTTCTGCAAGTGATAAATGTTGTGTTACTGAAGAAATACCCAGTATCTATTTACAAGACAGGCTTTAAGAGGCCTCCCTTCAATATTCTGACCTTATCAAACGGAGATAAAAACCCCACCCTTGAAGGACATGTTCCGGTAACTCTGATGGTTCGGAAAAGAGCTTCAGTCCCTGCAAGGTTCACCATGAATTAAAGCGAGTTTCTCATAGATGCAAAGTTGGCCTGAATCTGATGAGTAAAGCAATGAAGGAAAGACGACGATCTTTTCATGTTTTAATTTTAGGTCAAGAAGCAGTATTCATTTTAAACTGGGAAAGCACTTGAAATTATTTAAGTACTTCTGCATAGGAACCCACTGCCTTTTGTTATGGAAGAGAAACATTTCTGAACTGAGCTCTGAAAAGTTTACTTTCTAAACAAAGGACATATGCAGGCAAAGCAATATTATAGTGGTGGTTGAGCCAAAGAATAGTGAATCTGTGTGTTTATAGCCATGTAATGGATTTCTGGCATTTACTATGCCAGCAGGCATTACATCTAAGCACCGTGGTACCTACTGCTGAAATATTTGGAAAAAAATAATGGTAGCAGGGCTAGACTTATCCCCCTTTTCTCCTCTGCCCTTCCTTTCTTTCCCATTTCACCCTACCCCCACCAAAAAAAATGCCTCTGCTTTCAATATCTAAAAAATACATTAAACAGTACATAGGTTTATAAAACAAGTATGCAATATTAAAAAATAAAAGTATTGTTACTATTAATTTATATGCAGGGAAGAGATGGATTACGAGTATGTGGCAGCCAGCAGCACCTCCTAGCCCCCAAAGCCAAGTACAGGCTTGATCCTAACTTAATGTTGAGACTGGGAACGTGCCTTGTTTCTTGGTCTTTTCCACCTGTGCCCCACCCAGGACCTATGTTTTGTGAACTAATAGGAATGTGCCACTTTCCCTGCCTCAGGTAACCAGTTCCTGAGGGAATGCTGCAAAGTGTACCTGCCCTGCTGTTCAGATGCAACAGAAATAACTTAAGGTCCCACAAAGTCTGTGACGATGTTGGACACTGAACATGGTTATCTTCAATTTCAGTCCAGTACTTCAACCACATGACAAATCTTCCTATAGTAAAAGTCGTACACACCCACAGATGCAGGGGACTTGTGGAAACTCAGTTTTATTGACAGCCTCCAGAGGATACGCTACTAAATAATGCATAGCAATACTTGATCATACCACAGCTCACAAACCATACCTTTGATTTTTCTTTTCTGAAACATTTTTTTTTTCCAAGTGTCAAAGCCTGATCTGCAACCGTGTCCCATATGAAGAGAAAATGTATGCAAAGGACAATGAGCAATGAACAGTATATATGGGCCTAGCTTCTCAATTAAATCACTTTTTGGGGAAAAGATGTGGATATCATGTCAGAATTTGATCTTGACAATAAACCTACCAAAATCCAAGATGCTATAAAAAAGCTTTACATTACGTTCAAGAGACACCTTGAAGGCTGCTATGATAAACACATTTGCTTTGTTTTATTATCAGTGGCACAGATGCTATTCGATCCCCCCTAGGACCATCACTCTCAGGAGAAAGCTGGCACACGGAAGCCTGCACTGATAAATCCACCCTTTCAGCAGAACATATATTAGCTTGTTTCAGCTTTGTATTAAGGCAACCAAATGATTTCAAAGTCAGATGCTGGCATATGTAAGTATGGCCTGAAGTGTGGGTAAAGTGACAAGACCGCTGTCAGCACTTGAAGGAATACATTCTTGAACTGCTTTGAGATTCCTGACTCTTAACCCACTGTATCAATTTCAAAGCACATACAGCTCTGTCTACGCTTGTATGTGTGCACAGTCTGAAGCTCTGATTAAACAATTAAAAAGGCATGGATTTCAGGCTATAAAGGCCAGAGCCTGTGTGGTGTGTTGACCCCAGCAGGATGCCAGGTGCCCACCAAAGCCGCTCTATCGCTCCCCTCCTCAGCTGCACAGGGGAGAGACAATATAGCAAAAGGCTCATGGGTTGGGATAAGGACAGAGAGAGATCATTCACTAAGTACTGTCATGGGCAAAACAGACTCAAATGAGGGAAATTAAATCAAATCAGAGTAGAATAATGACAAATAAAACCTGAATTTTAAAACACCTTCCCCCCACCGCTCCCTTCTTCCCAGGCTTAACTTTACTCCTGATTTCTCTGTCTCCTCCCCCCAAGCAGCACAGGGGGATGGGGGTTGTGGTCAGTTCATCACACGCTGTCTCTGCTGCTCCTTCCTCCTCAGGGTGAGGACTCCTCACCCTCTTCCCCTGCTCCAGCATGCGGTCCCTCCCATGGGAGACAGTCCTCCACCAACTTCTCCATCGTGAGTCCTTCCCATGGGCTGCAGTTCTTCACGAACAGCACGGATCCTTTCCACAGGGTGCAGTCCTTCAGGAACAGACTGCTCCAGTGTGGGTCCCCCATGGGGTCACAAGTCCTGCCAGCAAACCTGCTCCAGCCTGGGCTCCTCTCTCCACGGGCCCACAGGTCCTGCCAGGAGCCTGCTCCAGCACAGGCTTCCCACGAGGTCAGAGCCTCCTTCGGGCATCCACCTGCTCCGGCGTGCGGTCCTCCACGGGCTGCAGGGGCACAGCCTGCCTCACCATGGTCTTCATCACGGGCTGCGGGGGAATCTCTGCTCCAGCGCCTGGAGCACCTCCTCCCTCTCCTTCTTCACTGACCTTGGTGTCTGCAGGGTTGTTCCTCTCATATTCTCACTCCTCTCTTCTGACTGCTGGTGGTGTTGTGCACTCCCACCCCCCCTTCTTAAATCTGTTATCCCAGAGGTGCTACCACCATCCCTGATGGGCTCGGCCTTGACCAGCAGTGGTTCTGTCTTGGAGCTGGCTGGCATTGGCTCTGTTGCACATACGGGAAGCTTCTTGCAGCTTCTCACAGAAGCCACCCCTGTAGCCCCCCACTACAAAAACCTTGCCATGCAAACCCAATACAGCCTGTTAATTTCTTTGAAGAATTCCATCCATTGCTTGAAGCAGGAGGGACAAACAAATGGCAACCCCCTAATCTGGAAAATTTAATACTACTAAAAGAGAGACAGCAATAAACACTGGTTTGGTTTGGTTGGTTTTTTGGGGGTTTTTTGGTTTTTTTTTTTAATCACCTGCTTATTTGGGATGGATAAACTGACTAGATTCAGAGGTAGTGCCATATTAAGGCTTCTTTAGTACCAGTCTGTGAACGCAAATGAAACCTAAAGATTTCTGTAGATCTCAGCCAATGAGGTTTCAATGCTTTCAGTCCCGATTTACTGATGTCCGTTAGTAGTTTTAAGTAAACCATTTTTTATGGAGACTCCCCCAGTCACACATTAATATCAAATGATTTTTAATTTTTCATTTTCAAGAACATTAACTTAATCATGACAAAGAGCAAGCTCCTTAGAAAGGCACTGCTAGTCTTTAAATGCCATTTTTAAAGTTCAGCATAAGAGAATTAACAGACTGAAAATGTCAGCAAAAGATGAGACCAAGACGGTTATGTATTTCAAGATTTTGTAAGTAACCACAGGAGTTACATCCTATCTCAGTGTATGTAGTCCTGCTGATAACCTGAAACTTTTGTTATTCGTGAGTTTAGGACTTAGTACTGAAGTGTGAAGATTAGGACTTAATTCCTTAGTTTTTCCTCAGCTTAACAATTATATTCAGTTATGATAGTCCTGAAATGCTACTGGAATTACAATATTAAGAGATAGGTATCCAAGAAAAAAAAAATCCTCTGAAATATTAAAAAAAAAAAAAAGCTAATTGTAGACCCCGGCATGGCTATGTAAGACATAATCTAAAGAACAATAAAATTTCAGTGAACAACTGTTGTTCACTACTGGTAACATATTAGACTGTAGATGGCAAATATATACAGGCCATATTCAAAAGATGACAATTTCAAAATGTTTTGTTGAAATCAGCATACAAAAGATTCTGAAGGCTATTTCTCAATTGGTTATTTCTAAATATTCATGAAAAAGTAGTGCTTCATTTCCAAAAATCCCCACCATACCGTTACATACTTTAAGAGCCTTTCGTTTTCCTAATCATTGCTTCCAGCATATCCCACTGCTCTTTGGAAACCTAATAAAAGAAAAGAGCGTTTTATTGGAATTCCATATAATAATTACACATCTAAGTATTTGTCTGAATGTGAAATAGCAAGCAAGGAATTTAATACCTTCCTCAAATCATTGAATTCTCCTGCCATCGAAACATATTCTCCACCGTCCATTCTAATAACCTAGAAAAAGCATAAGAAGTATATTTAATAATAGTGGGTTTTCTGTAGCGTTCCCTTGTTATGAACTGTGAAAGTAATTTTTATTGATTTGGATCAGAAAAACCCATGTTCAAAATAGTTTAATTCAATCATTTTTAAAAGCTCTTTTTAAAGGTACTAACCACCATGCATTACAATTAGAAGTGTAATAATGCTTGCAAAGAATTTCAAAGTAACAGTTTTTGTTTCATTTCTGAAACCAGGGCTTTAACAAATGTCAGCAAAACTCAGACCATCATCAAGTTAATTGTATAAACAAGATCAACTAAAACTTACTGCTCCATTAACCCAGCTTGCATAGTCACTGCAGAAATAGGCAGCAAGATTTGCAATTTCTTCTACAGTTCCCAGACGGCCACAGGGAATCCTCTCATAAAATTTCTTCTCAAACGTGCCTGTTGGGTCAAGGCGGCTAAAAGCACCCTGAGAATTAAGAGAAACATTGGGGTGGGGGGGGTGGGGGCAGGGGGAGTTATAACTGTATCAGAAATTAAAATCCAACAGAGATTTGACTCCACATAAACAATATGGAACTTAACATTTGTGAGTAAACTGTCTACACCATCTTTGTCAGTAGGATGAAAAAGAAGTAGGGAACAGAAAACAGAATTTATCCCTGTTGCACTGATATGCATCTACTGAGGGAGATAAGCTGGAATTTAGCATGTTCGGGATAGTCACTCACTATTTATCTATGAGAAACAGACGGGATTAATAATCTTAGAATCATAGGATCGTTAAGGTTGGAAAAGACCCTTGAGATCATCGAGTCTAACAGCCAACCTATCACTGCCAAGTTCATCTATACCATGTCTTCAAGCACCACATCTATCCGTTCTTTAAATACCTCCAGGGATGGAGACTCAACCACTTCCCTGGGCAGCCTGTTCCAATGCCTGACCACCCTTTTGGTGAAGTTTTTCCTAATATCCAACCTAAACTTCCCCTGGCGCAGCTTGAAGCTGTTTCCTCTCGTCCTATCGCTTGTGACTTGGGAGAAGAGACCGACCCCCACCTCGCTACAACCTCCTTTCAGG